CGGCGTATTTGAGTTTCTGCACTGGCCTTAAATTTGAAAATCCTATTATATACGTATAATACGTATACGTATGGAATAATTCTAAAACGAGGTAAATTATTGACAAACAAGTTGATGAAACAAGAATATCAGCAGTCTCGTTGAAAGTCATCATTTCGTAATTTCTATAGTCGATACAATGACCTTGTCAGAAAATACAATCTCACTCCTCCATGGGACCTGATCCCACCTCTGATGTCTTAGAGGTCTGTGTTTGCGCTGCTCCTATTTTGTAATGTTTAATGTACTTTTGAGCTCGAATACTGTTCGTTATCTCCACATATTTCATTGTACAGAGGAGTACAAAGAAAGAAAAATAAATAAATATTTAATTCAGATTTTAATTAATCTATGTTTAAGAATCTACTCTTATTTCATACGGAAATATGAAAAAAATTAAGCAGCATCTGAATCAAAATTTACTTATGAGAAGTACAGCAAAAAACTTTTCTCAGAGAAAGTCTGGGGAGCCCCCCCCCCCTCCCCCCCACCCAATACGGAGCTGCCAATAAAAACTGCTGACCCTACATTTAGAGTCCTAAGGCACTGGTAAAGAGTGGCAAGAAAGGACTTTTTCTGTTTAATCCAGCTTAGACAGGTCTTGGAGAAAGTGGAATAATTTATTTGGGTTTCTGTGCTGGCCTTGAAACCCGAAGCACAGATTGTCTGCTTTACGATAAATTCAAATAAACCCGCAGGGTTGAACTCTCGACTTACGCAATCTATCTCCTAGCAGTGCAGGAACAGCGCGCTAGACCGCTCGGCCATCTAGGCAAGTCAGAAAACTTGCTTTCGATGCCGATGGAATTCATGTATATATATATATATAGAGAGAGAGAGAGAGAGAGAGAGAGAGAGAGAGGGAGGGAGGGAGATCGGTAATCTTTGTTTTATATACGGCCACTGATAGCTGTTCCACTCGCTATGGTTCCTGTATGCGATCGGTGAAAGGGTTACGTAAATGTAATCAAACACAAAACCTTGGGTGTATGTAAAATGCGTGCAGTTAAAGATTGAATTATTTTATATTATTTTTAGTCAACATATTGTTTGTTTCAACATTAAACAAAAAAACAAAAAAAACAAAACAAAACAAAACAAAACAAAAACGTTGATGTTTATTTTGTTTACGATAGCGACAAACGCGGATGTTTGTTTACCGTCGCAGGACGCGGACACACGCAGTGGATGTCTGGTCGATCAAGGGTTGGGTTACATAACTATAAACACAAACAGTCAGGTTAGATGCGTGCAGTTAATGACTGTGAATTATTTTACGCTTGGATGTTTTTTAAAATAAATATTGTGTGCTTTAATATACAAAGAAATAATAATATTATCTCTTTCCCTTTTCTCTATTTTAAAACGGGGAAAGGAGAAAGTTGTCACTGAATATTCCGTAAGGGAACCACAGAATAAACATTCAATGTTGTAAGGAATGCTATTTTTAGCAAGTTTATTTCATTTATATGCATACAGAATTCTCCTTCACTTGAGGAATGAAAACACTTACCTGATCACGGGTCCAGCTTTTTACGCAAGTCTCGAACAAAAAAAAAATCATGAGATCAATAAGATGTCTAATTTCAACTTTTCCAGCGAAAGCCATATCGAAATATTTACCGTTTTTGAGTTAAAAAGAAAAAAAAAACTTTCAACTCAGCTATGTTAAGGAATGCCTGAGTTCACATATGTGAGGCACCGCGTAGCAAGTATCACTGTGACGTCATTAAAATTTTAACAATTATTAAAAATAAATTATACCACATGATGATACGTAAATAAAAATTTGCATGGGTTTGTTTTATCTATTATTTATTAGGGAATGCAAAATCTCACCATAAATAACAAGACTGCCGACTATTTAGAAACAAATCTTGTGTCATGTATGACGTCATTTGTCTTGACTTGACGCAGTACAAGTGATCCAGAGGAGTGGATCAATTTTAGGGGCCAACCCCTTTTTAGTGGTATCAAATGAAAGGCCTTAACATGCGCACACTATTATTCTAAAAAAATATTTTTAGAAGATAAAAAGGAAAATATGTGTAATTTTTTACCCCTGTATAATGTCATTTTTGAATGCAGAAATCAAAAAACAAAAACCGATTGGCACAAATTCTCTATGCTTCTGTTACTTAAATTCAGTAGTATTTCTGCTCCAGGTTTTGTAGTCTCGGAGCCTTTCTTTGGAAACCAAAGTCCCTAATTGTTTTAAGGGAAATAACTCAAAAGCGGAAGTGATTTTTGAAATGTAGTACATCATTCTGATGGAGTTTTGTAACATCTATAAAATCTGAAAATTTGAGCAAAATCCATAGAGAAATGAACAAGATATGAGGTCTCAAAGTTAGCATCTAGGAAAAAGAAAAAAAGAATAATAATCTTAATCAACACAATCAACGGAAGACTTTAACAAATTTTATGGTCCCTCATCATATTTTTCCGATTACTTATGTTAATTACTTATCCCTTCAAAATCCACACAACACAAAAACACAGTCAAATGAATACATCACCCAGGCTCTCCGGGTTGCAGATTCACACACGTGCAAAAATGCCATCAGCTAAGCGTTTTTACTTATCATAATATAAAATGAAGTTTTATTTGCACAATACGTGTTAACCCTTTTTTAAAAAAAATTCGCAGAGATGTTTTATATATCATATCATTATTTGACATTAAACATATGTTAATAATATGACAATGCATTGATAAATTCAAAAAGTTGTAGTTGCTGTCTCCTGCAGTATTTAAATAGAATATTCATATGCATACAGGCAAGCTAATATACATTATAGTAAGACAAAGAGATATGAACAATGACTTGAGAATATCCTAGAAAACGCATTTCTTCTACTTGAGCAAAATCAATTAATCAGTAATCAATTTATTTATAAAAATCATTTATCTGAAGATATACAGAAAAATGAAACTTGCAGGGACAAACATCCCATGAAGCAAATAATTCATATCATATATGTGTGGTTTTATTTTTTACCTCAAATTCTACTTCACCGAATTGTACATTTGCTCTTTTTCCGATTTCTATCCGGTAGAGATCTAAAATTAGAAGAGGGTGTCTTATTTTGCATAGAAATCTGTTTTGAAGAAGTTGAGTGACGAGACTGCAAAATAAGACACTTTACCATATACAGTCGCATATTTCCCGCTCAAACGGAAATCAAAATTGTTGGTACATATTCTTAGTACCATAACAAGTGTCAAAAGAATCGGTACCATGAAAGAAACTTTTCTCATAAATGCTTCCAGATTTTTTCGATTGGGATCTTTCCAGATTTGCTCTCTTCCTGCAAGCGAGATAAGTTTGACTTTAACTAATGGTGTACACAACAGTTCACTGAGCAATACAATCATGTACATTCCAGATACAAATTATTTCATTCAAGAGTTAAAAGACTTGATAAAATTGAAAATTAGAAGGTATGCTTTTGTTCATACAAGTCAAATGTTTAATTTTGAATCAAATATTCAAGAAGATTGTCTTAATTCTGATTTGCTTGATCAATTACAAAATTTTACTAAAATCAATAGCATCAAAACGTACGATTTTTCAACACTTTATACAACCATTCCCCACGATAAATTGAAGTCCAGGTTTTTTGACATCATAGACAGCTGCTTTTTTTTTAAATAGAAATGGAACTCGTAAATATACTTACCTTGTCATTGGTCATTTACAAAATTATTTTATTGAAAAGCACTCTGATTGTACACACAAGTACTCTGAAGTTGATTTTAAAAGATGCTTGAGTTTCTGATTGACAATATCTATGTTGTTTTTGGAGATCAGGTCTTCCAATAATTTGTTGGAATTCCCATGGTACCAATTGCGCCCTCTTATTAGCAGACCTATTTTTGTATTCATATGAAGCAGAATTTATTCACAAACTTCTACATGAGAAGAAGAAAACACTTGCTGTGGCAGTCAACTCGACATTTTAATATATCGACGACGTATTATCAATTAACAATAGTTACTTTCATTCATATGTCGACTCGATATATCCCAGTGAGCTTGAAATAAAAGATACCACAGATTCTGACACATCTGTTACATATTTAGATATTTTACTAGAAAAGACGTTAATGGTAACATAACAACAAAGCTTTATGATAAACGTGATGATTTCAACTTTTCAATTGTCAACTTCCCTTCCTTATGTAGCAATATACCCTTATCACCTGCATATGGAGTTTATGTCTCTCAGTTGATTCAATACGCAAGAGCATGCTCTACGTATGAACATTTTCTAAAACGAGGCAAGCTATTGACAAACAAGTTGACGAAACAAGGATATTAACAGTCTCGTTTGAAGTCATCTTTTCGAAGTTTTTCGGTCGATAGAATGACCTTGTCAGCACATACAACCTATCACTGAGTCAAATGCTGATTGACCCTTTTCATACTAATTGTTAAGTGATTATTTATACACTGAACTGTCTACGGATTTTCCCGGTTTTTGTTTCCCTATCATGACAAGGAGCACACGGCGGGTGTTACCGGTCGGCAGGGGATGCTTACTCCTCCATGGCACCTGATCCCACCTCTAATTTTTGAGTTCCTTGTTTGCTCTGCTCCAAATTTGTATCGTTTCATTGGACTTGTGAGATTAAATACTGTTCGTTATCTTCTTATTTCATGAAAATCATTTATCTGAAGATATATCCCATTTAGCTTACAAACTAATTGAAAATTAAATATTTACAAGGATGTAATAGTATTTACGCTAAATTCTTCTTACCATATGAAATTTTTTAAATTCTTCTACATGTGATATAGAAAAAAAAATCTTTTTTTAACATTAGATTACTATACTACAAGGACGTCATGAAAAAAGTTATTTCCATGTGAAATTTCACCAATACGGAAATACTTATAGAAGGAAAAAATTATTACAAATATATCTTTACATTTTTATTATTCCACAGGCTTAAATTCTGTATACGATACATGTTGCTTATTTGAAACTTCTCCTTTCTGAGTGTTGTGGAGAATTTACTTTCGACACTTTTTAAATTCTCTGCCATTTTTCTCTAAATGGACCAATTCAAAATCATGTGCTTAGTCTAATGGATTCCATTCAGCAGGATAGGTTTCAGGAATGGCAACATCCAATAATTTTGGACTGAAACGAGAATGAGAGGATAATTTTACAAAATTAAATAAATAATAAATGATTATATACAAACAAAATAAAGATATAGTTATAAATATGAATCATATCTATAGGATATCAGTCTGATTAAAATCAGATCCTAGATCCGCTCCTCTTTTTTTTATTGTCCCTACACCTCGTGATTAATCAGGTTGTATATGATAATAATTCCAATCTTAATTTTATTTATTGATTTCCTGTGTTTTGGTTGGACGAGAACAAATCCAAGAAAAAGTTTACACATCGATAAATTCTCAATCAGAACTACTTTCTTGACCTAGCTTTAATTGTAAAAAAAAAAAAAAAATGAAACAAATCGTTAACTTCTACTCTGTGTTTTAGCTAAACAATTACAGAAACTTGAAATAAAATAAAAACAAAACTAACGAAATGCATGACTGACAGACGGGAATATTACGTTTATGTCACTGTCAGATCACGAGTGAGAATTTTAAATCTATGAAGTCATATTCTCGACATTCCTACAAAACAAATCAGCTCAGTTCTCGGAAGCGCTGTAATAGGAAAGAGAAACGTACCTTAGACTCTTGCCTTATTAGCATCAAATTCATTTTTCTACATCCTATGTTCTGTCCCGTCTTTGAACAAACCAGAGCAAATCAAGGTTGTCGTCGGTCTGCTACTTTCGTTTTAGAGCGTCTGTCGTTATATTGTCAACATTGTCAAGGTCGAATTCTTTTGAAGTCTACTTGTATTTACGATATTTGTTGATTTAAACAATATTCGAAGAGTTTTTATAAGCTTATTTTATTAATTTTTTTGACAATTAAAGTTGAAGTTTATCGACGTTCATCTCAATTTCGATTCATTTCCACATCGCGGCATAAAGTATTCCTACGCTGTACAGAAATAACAGATTGTATGGAGGCTTGATTTTAAAACTTCGTAATTGAAATGATTTTAAAACTGAAATTGTAATTGAAATTATAAGAATTAAACGTTCTTTTTCTAGAACGTATCGATGTGTAAACTCATGCCTTTGTACTCACAAACTTTACATAAAAGTACTTCGCACTTTTATTCAGTTTTTGAGTACAAAGACATGAGTTTACACATCGATAAATTCTGAAAAAAAAAAGAACGTTTAATCCTATAATAAATTTTCTGCTCTAGAGATTTGATTTTTGTTTTATTTCTGGTTTAAGAAAAAGCTCACTAGAAACAAATACAGGTCTTCTCTGAATCTTGCGAACCTTTTTGGTGTCAATATTTATTTGCGTCCAATCAGTCAACTCCAATCTGTACTTTAATGTGTGACTCTCCCTGGGAAATAGATAGCTTTTTTGCCCTGTTAAAAATTTCTTCTCTCGTGTGCATTGAAGATGATCCTATATAAAGAAAAAAATAATCAGATGCCTCATGAAAGACATGAATATTACACATGTATGTATGATTTAACGATTCGTGGATCCATTGGATAAATATAACATATTAATATACATCTTGCATTTGAAATATTATTGGAAAGAAACACGGTGACCATAGTGCCAACTACGGTGAAAATATATACTTTGAGACCCAATGATCAAGTCAAATACAGAAAGAACAGCAGAAGTCACCGCACGAAAATGTTTGTAAACAGAATTCTATTAATATTTATTATCAATATATGTACTTTCTAGTATTTGTCAAATAAAATATACAACTTGACAGTTATGTTGCAGATGACAAAGTTACCTATTTTCTTAGAGAGACAAAGCCTTGCTAATCGACAAATCGTATTTAACTTGTTTTCAATTTTTCTGATATTTGATATTTGAAAACGATATTTTGTTAAAACATATGCATTGTTTTTATTCTAAAAATTCAGAATTGCCAAACTAAATATTTTTAACCTCACCCTTTCTTATAAGATCTTTGGTTTTCAATTTTGCAGTTTTCGGAATGCAAGAAATTTGGCCAGGAAAATACATCTGTATGTATTTTTTCTTGTAGGTACAATTTTAAACCCGATTTATCAATTTATCGAAAAAATCCATTGTAATAGCATGATTTCAAAGAATCGAAATAACAGACACTACGGAGTCTGACACAACTACATCATATTTGGATATTTAACTGGGAAAAGACATTGATGGCAAACTAACAACTAAACTTTTAAGAAAAACGTGAAGTCATCAACTTTTCTATCGTCAACTTCCTGTGTTAATGTAACATTATACCACTTTTACATACATTTGGGGGTTTATACCTCAAGTTGATTCGACACCCTAAAACATGTTCTTCGTACAAACAATTTCTAAAACTAAGCAGCCTACTGACAAACAAATTGATGATACAAAGGTTTTACAATCTCGTTTGAGGTCAACAATTCGCAAATTCTATGGTCGATACAATGTCTGTTTGCAAATACAATGTGTCGTTAGGTTAAATGTTGCGGCAGGTTTTTTAAAAGAAGAAAAATGATATTTTTTCTCAGTATTCACAGTACGGTTTAAGTTTGAATTTCTATTTTTCCATGCAGGCTGCACACAAAGTTATTTTGTGAATCGAGATATTTTTTGTGGTAAAAAATTATATATCAGATTTATTATTATGAATTCTATCGCATTATTGTGAAAAATATAGCAAATATACTGTACTGTGTGCGTCTATAAAAAAGTTCCCATTTTAGTTTAAAATTAAAGCTTTTTTAGTAATATCTACATCATAGAACCCCCCACCTCACCCCAAACCACACCCCACCCCACCCTTTATTTTGTTTTTTCTGAAAACATAAGACAACGTTGACCAATTTTCTTAAATTCAGTAAAATCGTGGACTTTTTTAAATACATTGTAATTTTATTTTATTTTATTCATTTGTTATTTATTTATTTTGCCAACGACATTTTGGTAGTGCAGAAAAGTCAAATAATTATTTATACGAAGTAATTTGAAATCTGATTTTTTTTTCTTTGTCAAAAATTTATTTACATGTCTATTCAGATAAAATAATATTGTATTTTGTTCCATGAGTTATATTGATAAAAAATATTGGAGGAAAAAAAACTGATGTATGTTCAAGACGCAGTAAATGACAAAAGCACATCACCTCACAGCACATCAAAGAATGACAAAAACACTTCATATAATGACAAACGCATACCATATAATGACAAATGCACATCACATAATGACAAAGGCACATTACATAATGAAAAAAGCACATCACATAATAATAAAAACACATCACATCATGATAAATGCACACCATTTAATGACAAAAGCACATCACAAAAAGATGATTGCACATCATAAATTCAATTTTGTCATGATAAGACAGTCCATAGGATTACATAGGTAAGAGACCAAGTTGTTTTCAGAAAATCAACTTTTGGTTTGGTTATTGGGAACACGTACGTACAAAATATCTTCAATATCGATTTATTTAAAAGTACAAACTAAGATTTGCATTGAATTCTTTTTTGAAATAATGAACACTCAAAACACTGTGGGGAAGGTATATGGATCATAAGAATCTCAAATAAAATACTAGTCCTCTTTTTTACACAGGGAAGTAAATGTCTATCGACCAGGAACAAATGACATGTACCTTTCTAAGCATTTTACAAAATACACTGTACTTGAAACAGCTGTTGATATGGTATGTCTATATCAAGGAAGTAAAACATATCAATCACAATTAGATATCAAAATAATAGGATTTCTCCAAAACAATTAAAACTCTTTTAGATTCTGTAAACATTATTCGTAGATATAACTGGATTGACTGAAGGTATTTTTTGTTCATTAAAGGAAGTAGATGAATGACTCAAATAAAAAAACCCTCCAAATACCAAAATAGTTTTTACTATCTCCTTAAGAGAAATAAATTTAAGTAACTACATGCTAAACCTCATTATTATGTGACCAAATACTGAACGAATAAAATGCTCGATGAAACAAAATCATGAAAATATACTGGACAAAAAAAGTGAGGATCATCAAATTAAATATATTTTACATATACTTTACAATAAGAAAACAAAATGCAGTTTTAATTTTAGTATCACATTTTATATTCGAAGTTTGAAAATTAAACATTGGATGTGATAAGTTTGTTTGAACACATGCTGTACAAATTGTTCCATACGGTCACTCTAACATTTGCCGTTTTGGTCGGAGATCTGAAAATGCTGCCCATCAGCCGTATTGCCATTCCTCCTACAACGCTGTCTGAAGCTCCTGTCGATTTTGGGGAGTTGTTGGACGAGCTGAAATGCGTTGCCGAAGAATTCCCATGCTTGCTCAATGGGTTCAGGTCCGGAGAACGACTTGGCCAGTCCATATACGCTTAATTGTTTCACTTTCCAAGTATTTGTTTACGATTCGGGCTTTATGAGGTCGAGTATTATCGTCCAGTTAGATGAAATCCTCTCCCACATTACCTGCAATAGGTCTAATAATAAGATGAAGAATATCATCCCGGTATTTTAAACCTGTCAGGGAGCCTTCAATAATGTGCAGATCAGTTTTGTAGTCAACACTTGTACCTGCCCAAATCATCAACGAACCTATACCAAATCTGTCATGCTTAGAAATGCAAAAATCAGCATATCTTTCCTCAAACAAGTCTTCCGCCATCATGGAAGTCAACGCAAAATCGCGACTTGTCTGGAAAAAAAAAAAAAAACGCCAATGACATTGTTTCCAATTTCAGTGTTCTGTTGCCCACTGTAGTCGATTTCTGCGATGCTCTAATTTTTATACAGGACGCACGGCTGGACGGCAAGCCTGAGATTTGCTTCATCAAGTCTGTTTCGAACTGTCTGAGTAGAAATCCGTCTACCCGTTGCTCTCTGAAACTCAGTAGTAAGCTTAACAGCACTTTGGAAGCGGTGCCTCTTTGCAACATTGGTCAGATAACGGTTAAAAGTAATGTCAGTTCAATAACTCAAATTTTGAATTTTTAAACATTTGTAATTAATGATGTAATTTTCGTTATTTTTAAACTCTACGGAACACAAAATCGATTCGCTATATTTGTAAATGTTTTTGTTAAGAATTTCACAGGGGATTCCAAAAAAACTTCGCTAGATCCGTTTTTGTACCAAACTAGTTTTACTGTAATCATGTTTAATTTTCGCTTTTAAGAAATAAAATATATTATTGCTTACAAGAATAACATTTTGAAATTTTGAAAAGTAGAATAGCTTCATTGCCTATATGAGGATTTTTCCCTTAAATTTCCACCTCAGATGAACCCTAGTCGAACAACATCCAGGCTAATGATGTATTGTCGTCATTTTGTATCATAAATATATCACAATGAAGAAAACCTTTATTCGATTTCTTATGATTTAAACATGACCAATTAGTTTTTGTGTAATAATTTTTTTTTAATATGAATAAGACTTCACAAAGCTTTGAAAATAACATGCAAACAGAATTGACCATCGAACACATATACATGTAGATAATAAATTTATCTATCCATAAGCTGTGTTATTCTGGACCAAAATAATTTTTGTCCATTTTTATTTTCGGTCCATTCTATATTAGTGACAGATTTCAGCAAAATTTTCATGGAATTTGTCATATGCTCAGATATGAGTTTTCCTAGAACAATAAGAAGAATTTCTCCAACCCTACCGTCAACCAGAGCATGATTTGCTAGGGTTGCTTCGTACTGGCACCACTGATCGCTCATGAAATTGGGAGATAATATTAGAATAAATTTCCTACTAACTTCAATGTTATCAAGAATTTCGTCAACAAAGATTCCTCCGGGAATTATGTCCCTTTCATGCAGACAAAGTTTGTATTTTCTTCTATTTTCTAAATTTTCGACAAGTTCCGACATGATCCATTTCCTGTCACGTGTATTGTAAGCAACAAATCCGTCATACTGATACCCGACAGATGGCAGTCTAGTATATCTTTTGGGATTTCTACGTCTCCATATATGAATATAGTATTTTATGTCCCATCGGAGTTTCCATACAAGGACAATTGAAAAAGAAATAATTGATATTATTCCACAAAAGATGAAGGACAAAATCATATTTTGATTCAACTGATGACACATGTGAAAATCAACATTTGATAGAGACTGTTTTTGCCACTTTAATGGTGTTTTGCATATATATCGTGCTGGATAAGCAATCACTCTATGGCTGTTTTTTCTTAGCCATTTTGAAAACCACTCTAGGTCACAGTCACAACTAAACGGGTTTGATGACAAATCTAGACGAAGTTTCTTCTTTTTCCAGATAAATTCTGGAAAAGAAGACTGAGAAACGGCAAAAATGGAGTTCCAACCGAGGTATATTTTTTCCAAGTTCCATAGGTTTTCAATGTCCCTTATTTGTAGGCTTTGTATATGATTGGATGTAAAATCAAGACTTTGGAGTTCTGACAATTCTTGTAAAGATGGCATATACCTAATGCCACAACCCCGAATTAATAGAGATCTCAAACGTTTTAAAGGCGACAGCATCTCTGTTAAATTGGTCATAAATAATGTCATTCTTCTCATGTGAAGTTCTTGCAATTGGGGACAATATTTAAACAATCGATAAATGTAACCTGGGAAACTGTCAACAGAAAGTTTAAGAAGACTTTGCGATTCTAAAGCTCTTTTTTCTACAGTTGGCTTGCCCTGGAGGTGTTCGATAATCAAAGTACTCAAGCTTGTTAGTTTTACAAATGAACGAGATAATATTGCATGTAATGGGTTACGTGACAGGTCGAGATGTGTAAGTTTCTGCAGACAATGCCCTCCTTTCTGGAAGAAACCTGTATCTCTAAGTCTGTTATTTGCCAGCCTTAAATACTGAAGCTTTGGTAATACCGTTTTCTTAGAGACATGTAACTTAGTAATTCTGTTGCCTCCTAGATTCAATTTTTTTAACTTTTTAAGTTTGGAAAGTGATGAAAAATTAAAATCTTCGATATTTGTGTTTATTAAAGATACTTCCCTTAGTCGTAAGAACCAATCACTTCTAAATCCAGAAAATTGATCACCCGATCCATTAAAATAATTCCCAGACACATCTAAAGTTTTGAGTCTCGATTTACCAAGAGATCGTGTGGCTAAATATAGCATATCTCCACTTAATTTATTATAAGATAAGTCAAGATTCACAAGGCTTTTGAGAGTTTGAAAAGCGAATTTTGAAATTCTTTCAATGCTACAGTTCTTCATTCTGAGAATTTCTAATTTCAGATGTGCTACTGGATTGAAATCGTTGTCCTCCAAATCAGGAAAATTGTTTCCGTTAAGAATGAGGGTTTTTATACTCCTGGGGAGTCCTCTTGGCAGGGTAGAAAGATTCCTTTCGGAGCAATCCGCTGTTGACCTTTTCCGACAAAAGCACTTGGTGGTGGGACAGTAAGAAACACGTTTTTCTTCACCATATGTATTGGCATCAGCAAAAAGAATTGATGAAAGAAGGAGCAGCAAATACATTATTCCTTCCATGGATGATTCCTTATCTTCACATTTAAAATCTACCTGTTTGAAGTATTTACAGAGACATGCAGATGTTATATATTTAATTCATTTAATTTAGCATTTTTATAGTACTCTGAAAGCATCCTTATTCCTTCAACTTTCATTAAATTTGACTTGTGACTTGTAGAACATGATAAAACGTTGTTTTTTTTTTTAATGCACTTGGCACTGATATGTAAAACTACAAATGTACCTACCTTCAAATGAATTAAGCTAATGCCCAAACAATTAAACTCAAATTCGGAGAAAAATGTCCCATCGTCTCGTTTCCACACTAAGTTATATAAAAATGCATCATAATCCTATTTATTTAATTTGTACTTCAAACAAGGAAATATGTTGATTGATCATTAATTTCTAAAACTATTATGATCAAACAGTTTTGTTTGTTTGTGTGTTGTTTTAACGTCCCTCTCGAGAATTTTTCACTCATATGGAGACGCCACCACTTGCCGATGGAGAGCTGCAAATTTTGACCTGTACTCGGCACTCAGGGACATTGAGCAGTGAGGGATCTTTTTCGTGCCAGCACCTACTGCGACACGGGACCCTGGTTTATACGGTCTCATCCGAAAGACCGGTCTCCACGTCCCACTGTGGGATTCGAACCCGAGACGTAAGGATCAACTCCTTACTCCGCGACTCTAGAGCTGACGCTCTAACCACTGCGCCACTCGGGCGACTTCAAACAGTTTTGAAAACAATCCAAAAGCTTTTATTTTGCATCATTTTAAGAAACTGATCTGTTATATATATATATATATATATATATATATATATATATATATATATATATATATATATATATATATATATATATATATATATATATATATATATATTAAATCATAGTATCATAAGAAATCAATATTGTACAGAACGACAATAAAGTAATTTTGCTTCAATCAAAGTTTATAAATAGTTTTTATACTGCAAATATGAACAACAAGGTTTATAAGCGGGTTTTTTTTTACTGGCATTGTAATAGTTAACTACAATTTTGAAACAAAAAATTTCAAATATCAAAAATATCAAATTTGCAGCTCATATTGCTTTAACTACATCATTAAAGGTCTCACAAACGCAGTATTAACATCTGCGCAGCCGATATATATTTAGTATAAAAAAAAAAAACACACACACACACACACACACAAACAAACACATAATAAAACAAAACAAAAAAGAGCAAGGGATGTCCACATATTTACCCAGTAACAAGCAGGGATAACCAAACACTTGTTCACTTCGTAGGTACAGTCGCCAGACGTCTCTACATCTGCGTACTGTCACAAGAACCAAACAGGGATGTCTGCATACTTAATCTCGAAAAGCGGGGAAGATCACCACACACTATACCACAACACAAGGATGCCAAGTACAGACAGGGATATCTGCAAACATTGGCATCACTGCACTATCATTGTATAATAAACGGAAGGAATACCTTGTAGAAAGTTCTCAGACTTGTGCGTATATATGTAAATGGCTTTTCTAAATTGACCTCTAGAATTGTCCTTCAGCAATCGTGATTATATCTTGACTTGCCATCAAATGCGTTTTGCTTTGAGAACATCAACGATAAAGAGTTGAACACGTATGTATCTGTAAAAAAAAAAATACAGAAAATTACTTACGTAAAATCATAATATCTTATTTCTGGACAAATCTCGACCACGTAATGAACATATTATTAGGCTGCTTGGAATTAACGTTCAGTGAAGGATTTTGAAGGAATGTTTTGAAATAGAAGCTTAATCGTTCACGCAGTTAATAATATGCAAGTCAATGCTTATCCAAAATGTACAAATGCCCAGCTTAAATAATTTTAGGTATGCAGTAAGTCACCCGTCATATATTATGAAAGTTATGTGCAATTACTGCTTTTTTCTTCCAATTTGTAATTTTTAGAGGGGGGGGGGGTGGTGGTGGGGGGTGGAGGTAATGTTTCAGCTCTATACATGCAGTACTGAAAGGAAGCATTTAAACTGAATACAGTGCAATTTTTTGATATATTTTAGTAAACCTGTATCTATGAACACAATTTTTTATGGACAAGTAAAATATTCATCATTTATCGAAGGATTATTTCAAATTTCAATGTTTTCATAATATTATACGGAGTTAAAAAAAAACTCATAAAACAGAGATTTAGATATATCTTCAAGAGTTTAATGCATTTATGGAAAACTCTACAAAATGTTTTTTTGTATAAACACATCGTTAATTATAACTTCTGTAAAATGCAGTCAAACAGCTAGTTTGAATATTGAATCTGAAAGATACCAAAGCAAGAGTAGACAAAATAAATTTTTGTGACTCTCATCAAATTGAAGATGAATTTTATGTTATATTTCAATGTATCTGATATTTAAATTTGAAGGGAAGGAGGGGGGGGGGTGGTATGGGATAATAAACGAGTATTATCATAAATCATCCAGTACATTTAAATTACTTCAGTAAGTGGGTTCCCAATCAAATCCACCCTGGGGGAAATGTATGAAATATGGAGACAGGGAACAATAATCAAGCTCAAAAGTTAATTAAAACACAAATACATGAGCAAACACGGACCTCTGAAAGTAAACATAAGTGGTGGGATCAGGTGCCATGGAGGAGTAAGCATCCCCTGTCGACCGGTCACACCCGCCTTGTGCTCATTGTCTATTACGATCTTATGTCACATAATACTGAATTGGCAGTTTGATCAATTTTTATTAGTTTGATCTCTCCTCTACATATATTTATATAAGTATTTCGTACCTGTACCATTGTTTTATATTGTTTTGCCATTATATTTTATTAATATATGATGTTTTGAATGATTATGATAATACATTCTTTTCCATATACAAGTAGATGGGGCAGTGGAACACTTGATCAGGGGTTTCACCCCCTTCCTCAATTTTAGTCTCCTTATCGTAATTATTTAAGAAAAGTTATATATGTTAATATTATATACCAATGGGCTATATTGCCCAAGGTTGTAACGATTAAATAAACCACATCCACATTAATTAAGGCCATAAAAACTTAAAACACTTGACATTATTCCAGAAAATTCAATAAAGATAAAGGAAATATTGAACAATTCCATTGCAGTTGTGCGTCAAAGAGGAGACATATGCATTTATAAGTACTCTTACAAATAGATATAATTTAAAAATATTTGCATATTTTTCCACCATTCGTGGTATTAATTAGCTTCAGAAATATAATGCAGTGTCAAGGAAATTGCTAATTACATGTTTTAGGTATGAAATAATCACACTAAACATTGCAGATGGATCAGGCACATTGCAACAAATTGAAAATATGCACACCGGAAGTTTTTTAAAAATAAGATAAAACAAAAACAACAAAACAAAATTCAATCACAATTATTTTTCTGGTCATACAAAATTTTAATTCAGAACATCACAGTGTTTTGGAAAAGAACACCTATTTAAAACATGACGAGCAGATTTGGAGAAGTAGATAGTCACGAACAACCAAGGTTCTTATATAAAAAGCTTTTAAAAATATTATAAAGATATTACCTATAAGGTCTTTACAATATGAATGCAGATATGCGTTTGGAATGTGGGTCGTTTATAAATCAGTAAATGCTTTGTTCAGTGGGATAAGTCAATATCGGTAAGGTAATAAGGTTACATTCATTTTTTTTTTATTTAGTTTTATTATTTCATTTAAGGAGATATATATAGGCACATGAGAAATTACTTAATTACTATATATACTTATGTTCCCTTTTCATGCTAATGATCTTCCAAAAATAAAATCTACGTTATATAATTTCCAATTTTATATAAAATTCCACTTGAATGCTTATGATTTCCAAAAACAAAATCGGATTTACATAATGTCATTTTTTCAATAAAATTTTGCTTGAATAATTATGACTTTCTAATTGAACTAGGTGAATATACATGTAATGAACAAAGATTGGTCTAAAAAAAATCCACAAACAATACAAATCTGTGAACAGGGCTTAAAACAAAGATCCCCGGAAATACCAGAGGTGGGGTCAGGTGCCAAGGAGGAGTAAGCATCCCCTGTCGACCGGTGACGCCCACCTTGAGACAATATGTATTGATCAGGTATGCGGAATGTTCCGTAGTCAAACCTCATACACAGGTGAAAACGGAATATTACTATATAAACTATATAAACTAGAGCAGAGCTCGTTGCAAAGCAACAGGTAGGTCTTCCGTTGGAGCAGCGGACAGGGCGAAGTGACCTTGAGTCAAGGTTATAAGCGATCTTTTATGGGGTATCCACTTGCAATGTTTCACCAGTAGAAAGACAGTAAAGAAATGTACACTTCCCCTGTCAGTAACCTTGACCTTGTCCAGATGAGTCAAGCCATGATACACTTTGTATCTTGTTATGTTTTTTTGTTTGTTGTTGTTTAACGTCCCTCTCGAGAATTTTTCACTAATATGGAGACGCCACCACTTCCCGGTGAAGAGCTGCAAAATCATACCTATACTCGACACTCATGGCCATTGAGCAGTGAGGGATGGATCCTTTTGTGCCAACACCTACTGCTACACAGGAGCTCGGTTTATACACTCTCATCCGAAGGACCGGTCTCCAGGTCCTGCAGTGGTATTCGAACCCGCGACGTTAGGATCAGCTCCTTTCTCCGCGACTCTAGAGCAGACGCTCTAACCACTGCGCCACGCAGGCGACTAGCTGGTTATGAGCAAACCCCATCTGTGTGTTACCGACTTGACAAGTCCACACATATCCTTTCAGGCTATTCATCCAAAACATCTTATCCTTAGTGACCTTCAACTTGAGTCAAGGCCATTACACCTCTGCATGACATCAGCAATTTCCTATTGTGTGTTTCCGACTTGCCAAGTTCACATGTTTTTTTTTTCAGACCATACAATGAATCAAAATAGTTTCGTACTGAAGACCCGGTCAATTTCTTTAAAAACTGAGATATCCCCTGTTTGATGTAAAACTTTATCTAGAAATTTGTTTAGAATAATTATGATATACATTTTCAGTGTAGATGTATGCTTGATGAAAAAAAGATGTGCAACATGTAGGTGTCACTATGATGCTTAGCATATACAGAGTTGTAAATGCGAAACTAAGACACGTAGTCAGTTGCAGGGGAAATTCAGCTGGAAAGCAGTAGGGATTTGAAGAAGGGGTGTATCTCAGAATGAAGGTGATTGGCCCCAGATCAATTGGTGAATTTCCACTGGTGCATGCATTGATTTACAGAATATTGGGTGTTTTATCCTCCTCCCTCGGGACTGGGGGTGGGCTGTATGGGTGCGACTGAGGCCCAAATCTTGAAAAACAAGCCGAAATTAGGGGTGTCCCCAAGTGCATTTTCGGAACATAAGCACTCAGATAGGTAAATTATGTTATATGTTGACATAATTTGTGAGCTATGGGCCTATGAAGCGTAATTAATTAGCCCTTAGAAAACTTTCCCCATGTATATGTTTTTATTGACTGCATATGAAGTGTAATTAATCTGTCCCCATGTATATGTTTTTATTGACTGCATATGAAGTGTAATTAATCTGTCCCCATGTACATGTATATGTTTTTATTGATTGCATGTATACGTGTATCCGCTCGCCACATGTTTGGCGAGATAAAACTATACCCTGCAACCTTCAATGTAAATGTCTTATGTCCAATCTGGATATTGAAATGTCGACGGTTTAAGGTTTCTGAACTGGCTTTAAATCTGAAAATCCTACATGTATCATACAAAGGAATATAAAGTTCACTACAATACACTATAAGCCGTTACGGTAGCTCAGTCGGTAGAGCGTTAGCTCCGTGATCGGCAGGCGGTGAGTTCGAATCTCGGCCGCGACTGACCTACGTCGATAAAAAAAAGGTAGCAAATGTTCCTTCGCCAGGTGCTCGGCACTTTGAAGTGAAAGTTGCGGGTCCTTCAAAAATCAAGGCCCCTTGTCACGGCAGGCGTTGGCACGATAAAGATCCCTCACCGTTCAATGGCCCTGAATGACGAGTAAAGGTCTAAATTTGAAGCCCTTCACCGGTATATGGTGACGTCTCTAAATGAGTGAAAAATTTTCGAATGGGACGTAAAACAACATACATTCAATCAATCAATCAAAACACTATGATCACAACATGTTCTATGATGCAGAAAATATTGCCTGCGTTAGAGCAAGATAAAGAAATATTTAATTCAGTATCTAATTATCTATGCCTTATACTATCACTGTTGATTTCATACGGAAATCTGAAAAAAATTAATATTCAAATTTGTTGTATTTTTCAATGTACATATAAACACAAAAATGTTTGAAATTTTTACTTCCTATCTTAATACACATCTTCAAAAAAAGTGTGGGGATAGAGTATGCCTTTCTCTAATATTTCAGTAAATTTTTGCTGGAATTTGCCCATGTATGACCGTACAGCGAAAAGTGGAGAGGGGACAAGCAGCATCAAAATCAAAATTTACATATTAAAACTACAGCAGAAGGCTATTCTCAGAAAAATTCTCGGTAGCCCCCCCCCCCCCAAAAAAAATACTCAAAAAGTCATACTTCCAGCACAGAAACATTTTTATAAAGGAAAATTATTATGAAAGTCATGTTTTAGCTCAAGCCCGTAGAAAGAACTTCCTGTCCTGGTGGGGGGGGGGGGCACAACCGAACAGAAATTTCTTGATAAATAAGCAAAAACAAAAAAGGGAATGCATAAGAGGACATTGAAGGGATGTCCGTAAGTTAAAGCTATATATGTTGACTAGGAAAAAATGCTTTGTCATTTGTTAAGATATTTTACCTAAACTCTTCACTTTCAATTTTCAATTACAGATTCTTGAACTACAAAGAAAAACGTATACATTTACACGTAGTACAAATATCGATCAGATGCATAATTTATTTTATTAATCATACTATCCTAAAGGAAAAATCCTCCGATCAAAATTCTGCAAAAATTGTAAAACCAGAAGAAAATATCGTTATACAGTACATCAATACATGTATATGAATATGAGAGAACAAAACAAAGAGAGGTAAGTAATAGATATCAATCATAAATAAATATATTTATATAATAAATAAAATAAATTTAACCGAATACATTGCAATGTTTCATTCAAAGTTTCACAATAATGTCTTGTAAATTTGTAAAAAGTTGCATTGATTTATAATAGTGATTTCATAAGGTTAGAATTTTGAAAATCGTAGAAAGTTTGCAATATCTTAATATTTCAAAAATTTGATATTTGCATCATTTACAACCAAAAATGATCCCCAAAAATATACCAATCCAAGCATCCACTTGTTTGTTTGTATCACCTTTCCTTAATCGAAAACGTGAATTAAGAACTAAAAGTCAACATTAGCAGAATAACATAACGATCCTGTGAAAAACATAAATTCTTGTGTCATCTACAAGAAAGGACTGCGTGATTCCTTTAGATACTTCTTTCTGAGTTCCATTATGAGAGCCCAAAGTATAAAAACATTTACAAGACGATATAAAAAAATACGGTAAAATATAAGTAAAAATTAAACACCAGAGATAAAAAAAAATACTTATAATTGTGGTACATAATCAAATCCTTGAAACAAATATCACACTAGATTATTGATCCATAGGGGTTATTTCGCCAGAAGTTAATTTAGCAATGAAATATGAAGAAAACGAACAATAATCAAGTCCATTGAAAAAAATATAAATTTGGAGGGCAGAGCAAACACGGTCCTTTAAAAACATCTGAGGTGGGACCAGGTGCCATGGATGAGTAAGCATCCCCTGTCGACCGGTCACACCCGCCGTGTGCTCCTTGTCATTATATCAAACTATGAAAGGCATTGAAACTAATTTCTTTGGGTTACCTGAAGAAACTGATAACTCTGATAAAACTGCATTAAGATTAAAAGGCCTAAATTGAATAAGGAACATATTATTGTAAATAAGCCAAACATTAGAGATAATTGATTCAGAAACATAACATAGGAAACGTAAATACATGCTTAAAAGTAAATTACTTGGAATTAGAACTTCAATCTATTCAAACATACGTGGGAATTCATACGTAACATATCGATATAACAGTAAAACTCAGAATTCGTAACAGCTAACCAATCACGTTTCCGCAGTAGTCTTAGGCTCTTGTATTTAAACTTGCTGAAAGGTTAATTTGCAAATTCTTACAGGAATGCGGTAAATTGTGTTTCTCACAGAATAAAATATGAGAAGTCTTTGTTTTGGTTTAGGGTTAGAGTTTCTTTGGTTGACCTATTTATTTAGTGTCTTCTCTACAGTGTCCCAAACAACCGAAATTTCTTTGAAATATACCGCAAAACCGGAATTCGATAATAAAAAGTCGGAAAATGACTTACTAGGAGAATACCAATCTTACTCGTTGTGTGAGTGTACTGCTATGTGTCTAAATGACTGTGGCTTCTATGGATACAATTCGCAGTTAAAGAACTGTCGTATCCACAAGCAAAGCTTCACATCTGGAATGTCTGAAGAGACCGGTTGGAGATATTATTCTCATTGTATGCATTGACTGTAACTTAAATAATTTTTTGATACATTTGCACAAAAGTACTTAATATTGCACATGAGTAAGCATTGCATTTTTACTAGATTCATCAAAATATTCTCTATGACTCTTTCCTATGGTAACTTTAAAAGCATTTTTCGTTCAAGTAACCAGTTTAATGTTTCTCCATTATTAACTGCAAATTATATTTTAATTACTTTTAATTTGTGTTTCCAATTTTGTTCTCTTTCTTTACTTTCTATTGAAAGAAGCTTTTATCAAAATTTCACTTGTACCGTAGTGAATCCATATGACTGACAGGATAAAGAACTTTCATTGTTAAAACAAAAAATTAGTAGTTTTTATACATACTAACACTGTAAAGATATCTACTTTGGCATATTCAGAATTTCTTGGCAGCAAAATGCTAATTGATTTGAATCAATAAAAAATTCTAATTAAACTTAAAGTTTCTAGCTAATCTGAAATTCAAACAAGGTGCAGTTCATGTTCCTTATTCTTCAAAGCAATCTTTAATAACATGTCGTTTCCCTAATTTTAATTAATAAAATATTACCTCCTTTTTGATTGCAACAAGTTAAGGTAATTATCAGCATGTAAAAGAAATATCACTTATGCTATTACCAGTGAATACTTTCTTCTGTTTTATAAATGTTTGTTTTATCGCCCTTCTGGCAAGCAAGAAAGGAAGCATTATTAAATTTAATTACAAATGTCTGTTGAATGTAACCTTTGTGTTCATTGATGAAGCATATTAAAAGGCGTATCAAAATCGGATCAGTTTATTTTCTAAAATAAAATTTCAAAACATGCTAAAATATTTCTCATGTATAGATAACAGTATGCCAATTAAAACAGTATTAGTACCTCGTTTGATTTAATGTACTTTTCGAAATTGTGATATTGGTGTAGGATACATGTATAAAGGTACCGTGTTAATATTCAGCTTTAATTAAAATAGGGAAATATTGTTTAAAAGCTTGCATCTATTGGTCTTCAATTAAAACAATAAACTTATACTTTCAAAAAGTTAAAAGCACAAAAAAAAAAAAAAAAAAAAAATAGATATTCAAAAACTTTTCAAGTAGGGAATTTGTATTGTAGCATTTGAATTTATCATATCTACTGAACGTTATGAAAATTTATCTTAGTTTTAGTTACATCTGGGAATTATAATCCACAAAAATAAATATAGGTGATTAAAATAGCTCGCAACGTAATAACATAATAAAATAATATCATTTTAGTTTACAACCCAACTCTAAAAATTAATCTTTATCAATCTTACAAAAATCAGAAAAAACGACCGTATGTTTAAAATGTTTAAGAATACGATTTCATCATTCTTTTTTTTTCCCTTTTCAGTTCTTCTTTTAGATTGCAAAGACATTCGAGAAAATGGTCAGACTAATTCAGGTGTGTACGAAATTTATCCCTATGGGCCCCGCACTAGACCAGTCAGAGTTTACTGCGATATGGAAACAATGGGCGGGGGATGGACGGTATGTTAATTTTTAATTAAGTTATACAAATGCATATCACATACAAAAATAGAGGATTTCTGTCTATAGCGGCGATCTTATATTTGCTTTATCCTACGAATTGGAATGGAGTATACACTGTAAACGTTGAATTTTGTAGGGGAAAAAATCAGTTCGCTATATCCATTAATTCGCTATGTATGAGTTTCTTATATCAGTAAAATTTTACAAGGAATTGTTAAGAATTTCTATGCTATAAACTTCGCTATATCCGTAAATTCGCTATATTCGTATTTGTACTAAATGAGTTTTACTGTATACAATCACTTTGCGAATATAATGTTACGTTAGATCGAATGTTGACAAACGTCTTTTATACAAATTGTAAGGCCACTATTTTCACACTGAATTTCTTGCGGAATTTTTGTTGACCCGAACATGTCCAGGTGCACCAGGCAAGTGTTACTAGTCAACAGGGGTGCTCACTCCTCTATGGCACCAAATAACACCTTTGTTTTTGGAGGTGGGTCTTTGTTCTGCTCACATTTTTATTGTTTGAACATAATAACTGTTCGTTATCTTCACATTTCATTGTGAACCGTCACAGTAGCTCAGTCGGTAGAGCGCTCACTCCGTAATCGGAAGGTCATGTGTTGGAATCACGGCCGCGACTGACCTAAGTCGATAAAAAATAGGTAGCAAATGTTCCTTCGCCAAGCGCTCTGCACTTTGAAGTAAAAGTTGTGGGTCTTTCAGATGAGACCTTAAAAACCGAGGCCCCGTGTCACGGTAGGCGTTGGCACGATAAACAACCCTTACTGCTCAATGACCCTGAGTGCCGAGTAAAGGTCTAAATTTGAAGCCCTTCACCGGTATATGGTGACGTCTCTATATGATTGATAAATTCTCAAACGGGTCGTAAAACAACATACAATCAATCAATCGCATTTCATTGTGAAACCGACTGATGTTTCATTTAATTATCAAGTGCTTGACCTACTTTGACACCAAAAAAAAAAATTGAGATAGATTATCTTTTTATTATCTTTTTGCGTATTTTCCCAAGGCAATCCAAAAAAGAGTAAATGGATCCCAGAGCTTTGAAAAGAACTGGGAAGAATATAAGAATGGTTTTGGTTCACCAGAACAGGATGTTTGGATCGGTACGTATAAATATCTTACCCGGTTTGGATCGTTACGTATGAATATCTGATCCGATTTGGATTGGTACGTCTAAATATCTGATCCGATTTGGATTGGTACGTCTAAATATCTGATCCGATTTGGATTGGTACGTCTAAATATCTGATCCGATTTGGATTGGTACGTCTAAATATCTGATCCGATTTGGATTGGTACGTCTAAATATCTGATCCGATTTGGATTGGTACGTCTAAATATCTGATCCGATTTGGATTGGTACGTCTAAATATCTGATCCGATTTGGATTGGTACGTCTAAATATCTGATCCGATTTTGGATTGGTACGTCTAAATATCTGATCCGATTTGGATTGGTACGTCTAAATATCTGATCCGATTTGGATTGGTACGTCTAAATATCTGATCCGATTTGGATTGGTACGTCTAAATATCTGATCCGATTTGGATTGGTACGTCTAAATATCTGATCCGATTTGGATTGGTACGTCTAAATATCTGATCCGATTTGGATTGGTACGTCTAAATATCTGATCCGATTTGGATTGGTACGTCTAAATATCTGATCCGATTTGGATTGGTACGTCTAAATATCTGATCCGATTTTGGATTGGTACGTCTAAATATCTGATCCGATTTGGATTGGTACGTCTAAATATCTGATCCGATTTGGATTGGTACGTCTAAATATCTGATCCGATTTGGATTGGTACGTCTAAATATCTGATCCGATCACAAATTTGACGAATGACCTCTGTTGAGATACATGTATATCAAACTGGAAGCGAATTCATACTCAGTGTTTATTTATGTTACATATCAAATCAAATAAGCTCATTGGTGATCTCAAATATTTCTTGATACAGGGAATGAGGTAGTCCATCAGTTAACAAAGGGAAAGAACTCATTCCTCTATGTTTCAATCACACTGGTGAATGGAAGCAGACTGTATGAGTTGTACGACCGATTCTCTATTTCCAATGAAGGAGATAAATATCGACTCTTTTTGGCGGGAGATGCCACGGGGACCTTAGGTAAATGTAACAAGTAAAAAGTGTACTTAACGAGAGAGAGAGAGAGATTTTAAAAATACAATATCTATAACTTGTATGATTTGTTTACTGTGGAATAGGCAGGCTATATACAATAGAGTCAGGAATACTGAAGATTAATCAGGAATACTGTAGAATAGTCAGGAGCAATTTATATAGTCAAGAATAGTATAAAATCGTCAGGAATATTGCAAAGTTGATAGATTTATTGATATATAGTTGGGGTTACTGTAATAAAGTCAGGAATACGTGTACAGTCATATGTCAAAAAAAGTCAGGAAAACTGAAACATAAACAGGATTACTGTGATATACTTAGGATTTTTGTAATACATGAAATGTACATGCATTTTTCGTCTTTCATCTCAGTTTTAACAATAATTAGGCAAACGTTTCAATCTTTGCTGATTCTCTAAATCTTAATTTTTTGCAGGTGACAAAATGTTAAACTCTGGGTCTAGTTCCTATGTTCTGAGTGGAATGTACTTCACTACGTATGACAGGGATAACGACAGGGGAGGTAAAAACTGTGCTGTGGATTGGAGAGGTGGTTGGTGGTTTAACGCCTGTTACTCGGCTTTCCTTAATGGTCCGTGGTCCACGGAAAGGTGGTGTTGTCCGTGGCATCCTACAGTTAGGGACGGGACATCTATAAAAGAGACCAGCTTGATGATCAAACGTCACTAGGTTTATCTTATATTGTTTATATTCTTTATTTTCTTGATGATATTTAAAAATGAAAGTAAAATATCTTCGATTTCAGGATGCTATTTAATTTCTGTTAAATATTGGTATATATTTTCAAGAGCAGATGCAGATTGAAAAGAAAAGCCATGGACCCTGCCCATAGCAGAGAAGCCAAGAATTAGTAAATCTCTAATGGGGATAAATATTTGTATATATGATGTATATAGATTACTTAATAGAAGCTGTCCGTGAACTGTAAAATGTATACATAAGGGTGTGCAAGAACGCGGGGGGTGGGAGGGGTGGGGGTGGGGGGTAGATGTTTGATGTTTCTAAGTTAAATTGTGCTTGTGATTATTTAATAGAAACCTGTAATAAACTTGTAAACGGATTACTGGAATTTATTTATTTTACGTTACGAAAGGAAGACAAACATAACTATTTATATATGATACTGAGGATTTTAATATAGACATGAAAGAAGATTTTTATTAGCAGAAGGACTGCACGCTCGCACCCGCTTCAAATCTGAAAAGGAGCGATTTTTTAAGTTGCGTTAGTCATTATTACTTCTAATCTAAACTTTACAGGTGCATTGATTTTCAAAGTATTTATGTGTGCGGGGTGAAGATGGGGGGGGGGGGGGGTTGACCTCTTTACAATCATTCTTAATGTGAAGATATTTTGGTTTCATGAAATTTGAAGTAAACGATCAATTACTTTGCTCAATGTCTAAATAAAAAATACTAATTGAGAGCAGAGCTACACGGAGCCCTGAAAACTTTAGAGATGAGATCAGGTGTCATGAAGGAATGGGTATTCCCCGTTAAACGATCATACCCGCCGAAATCCTTTTGTTATAAACAAAAACAAGATGTGTTTGATGTGAAACACTTATGCCCCCGTATGACAACTCATAACAAAGGTTAAACATTCTCAAATGCAAATCAAATATGTTGGTACCCAAAGTAAGGTCTTGTCTAGAGGAATATACCTGTGAAATATGAAAATCTTAGCAGCAAGCATTGAATAGATATGGAAAAGGTTTTCAATAGTAGGTCAAACATCAAGATCAAGTTCAAATGGTCAAAATTAATGGTGCCCAAGGAAAGGCCTTCTGACAAGAAATATACATTTCAAATATCAAAGCCCTAGAACGAACCACTCAAAAGTTATGGCCAAGGTTAAAGTTTTCAAAAGTAGGTAAAACTCCAATGTCAAGGTCAAAGGGTCAAAATTGTTGGTATCAAAAGGAAGGCCTTGTCACAAGGATTACATATGTGAAGTATGAAAGCCCTAGCACCAACTGTTCAAAAGTTATGGCCAAGGTTAAAGTCTGAAAAAAAAATGCAAAAGTGGGTCATACTTCAAGGTCAAGGTCAAAAGGTCAAATTTTATGGTACCCAAAGAAAGGTCTTGTCACAAGGAATACACATGTGAAATATGAAAGCCATAGCTCCAACCAATCAAAAGTTATGAGCAAGATTAAAGTTTTTGCGGACAAACAGACAGACAGGCAGATAGACAGACAGACGGACGGACAGGGCAAAAACTATATGCCCCCGAATGTTCGATTACTGGGGAATAAAAAGTTGCAATATATATGTAAGACTCCAAAGTCCGACGGTTGCGCCAAAGTCCGATGGCTTGTTTTCTTTGAGACGCACTGCGCCAAAATGCGATGTTGTGATAGGCAAAAGTTCGATGGTGCGGAGAAACAAACAAAGTTTATGACGTCACAAAATTCCGACGTCAATTCCTTGACGCCGTTGTTCTGAATTCAAAAGCTATCAATTCAGATACGTCCTCGCATACAATTTTACTGATTTTGCTTATTGCTTGCACCCACCAGAGTTAGTCCTCACACACCACTCGACTGATCAGGGTTAGTCCTTGCACACTACAGGACTGATTATGGTATAGATTTGCACCAACCCGAGAGACTTAGGATTAGTCCTCGCACTCTATTCGACTGATTAGGGTTAGTCTCGACCCCACCCGATATCTAGGTTATAGTTCTTACTCATTTTTTTGACCGATTAGAGTTAGTCCTCGGGTATAATATTTATTTTTCTATTCATCTAAGACCTTGGCATAGCGCAGCATCGCATTTTGGCGCAGTAGCACTATAACGTCACTAACGTTATTTGCTTTTCCGCACCATTTTTGGCGTGTCAAGCCATCAGGGTTTGGCGCAGACCATTTGACTTTGGCGTGACCATCGAACTTTGGAGTCCCATCGCACTTTCGAGTCCTACATATATATCTGGGGACGGAAATATTTTTAGTGTTAAGTCGCGGAAAACTGATCACATTAGAAGAACGATGGAAAACTACAACCTAAACATTTTGACAAGTAAAAAGTTCAAACAATATACAGATATTAAATAACATCATATAACTACTGAGAAACACAGCCTCCTCCAATATTCCTACATCTGATTTACGGTTATATCTGATTTACGGTAATATCTGATTTACAGTTATATCTGATTTACGGTTATATTTGATTTACAGTTATATGTGATTTACAGTTATATCTGATTTACAGTTATATCTGATTTAAGGTAATATCTGATTTACAGTTATATCTGATTTACAGTTATATCTGATTTACAGTTATATCTGAATAATTTAATTTTGTTTGTATTCTAGCCTCTGATTGGTTAATATCCAAAAAGGAACACAAATTATTTCTGTATAACCTGGTTTGGTATGGGGACACCCCCCCCCCCCCCGACAACCAGCTGAATCATCTGTATGCATACAATCCTCTCATTTCCAGTCCTCGGGATTCATGGAAAATTCCAGATTAAATAAATATACCTTTAACTTCAAACAATAATTCGATCTTACCACATGTAAACAAGCTGCTAGGCCTATGTATCAGTTTTTACCTCCCCTCGCTTCCCATCACTTCCGTTACTTCCGTTACTACGGTTGTATTATTGAGCGGCAAATGTGAAGTAATAAAAAGCAACGAAATTTTACACCCATATTTATTTAATGATTTTAAAATTAAATTATAAGGAATGACTCTAATTCTTGGCCAAATTATTCGAGTATAACCTGGTTTGGGTCAGTTTACGCTTTATAATTCGCGGATTATAAAGCGTAAACTGACCCAAACCAGGTTATACTCGAATAATTTGGCCAAGAATTAGAGTCATTCCTAAAATATCTGATTTACAGTTATATCTGATTTACGGTTATATCTGATTTACGGTTATATCTGATTTACCGTTATATCTGATTTACGGTTATATCTTATTTACATTTATATCTTATTTACAGTTATATCTGATTTACGGTTATATCTGATTTACGGTTATATCTGATTTACGGTTATATTTGATTTACAGTTATATCTGATTTACGGTTATATTTGATTTACGGTTATATCTGATTTACGGTTATATCTGATTTACAGTTATATCTGATTTACAGTTATATCTGATTTACGGTTATATCTGATTTACGGTTATATCTGATTTACAGTTATATCTGATTTACGGTTATATCTGATTTACAGTTGTATCTGATTTACGGTTATATCTGATTTACCTTTATATCTGATTTACAGTTATATCTGATTTACATTTATATCTTATTTACAGTTATATCTGATTTACAGTTATATCTGATTTATGGTTATATCTGATTTACATTTATATCTGATTTACATTTATATCTGATTTACAGTTATATCTGATTTACAGTTATATCTGATTTACGGTAATATCTGATTTACAGTTATATCTGATTTACGGTTATATCTGATTTACAGTTATATCTGATTTACAGTTATATCTGATTTACGGTTATATCTGATTTACGGTTATATCTGATTTACCGTTATATCTGATTTACAGTTATATCTGATTTACAGTTATATCTGATTTACGGTTATATCTGATTTACGGTTATATCTGATTTACAGTTATATCTGATTTACGGTTATATCTGATTTACAGTTATATTTGATTTACAGTTATATCTGATTTACGGTTATATCTGATTTACAGTTATATTTGATTTACAGTTATATCTGATTTACAGTTAAATCTGATTAACAGTTATATCTGATTTACGGTTATATCTGATTTACGGTTATATCTGATTTACAGCTATATCTGATTTACGGTTATATCTGATTTATGATTATATCTGATTTATGTTTTAAAAGAACAGATTGGAACCACATTCTTAATCAAAATTTGATAAAGCCGAAACTTTTTGCAAACTATTATACATTTCAGTAAAACACACATAGCGAACACGCTTATAATAGATTGACGCTTACAGCGAAGGGGTGTTCATTCCCCATGGCTTTAAATATATGTGAACTTAATGGATATAAGGAGTTATGTTTATAACGAGGCAAAATCGTCCTTAGCTCAAACTATAAGCGTGATTTACTCTTTATACAGAATATAGAATATTTACTTGTTGATTATGAAATTTATTTCACGAGTGGAACAGTATTTTTTTAAAGCACGATGTACAGGGGCAAGTCGCTGTAGCCTAGTGGTAAGACGTTCATTTTGTAACAGGAAAGACAGGGTTTGATTATCGTTCGCTGGGAAGCGTCAAACCAGGGCAGAAACATAGCTAATGACTGTTCAAGCTCCCGGTATTAGTGAAAGTCACGGATCTTTCGGATGAGACCTTAAAAACCGAGATCCCGTTTCACAATAGGCGTTGCCCTTAAAAAGAATCCTCACTGCTCAGTTGCCCTCAGTGCCGAGTATGGGTCTTAATTTGATTCCCTTCAGGGGTATACGGTGGCGTCTTGACATGGATTAAAAATTCTCTAATGGGATGTTTAACAACATACAATCAATTAATCGGTCCATAACGATGAATTTTCTTTGAAACAATCTTCCTGTAAAAAATGAAAATATTGGGTTTTGCCGCACTTTTGATATTTTCACAGTCAGAAAATCAGTTTCTATATCATTCTCTATGTCAAAATAATTACTTTTATTTCATTGATAAGT